TTTAGAAGCGGGAATCTTCAGAGGTTTTTAACTCTTTGTCCGATAATCATTAAGGATCGCAGATTTATTATGCGATTTGCTTTTCCTTGTCTTTCTCCACTCTCCATCCAGGATCTGGTCTTCTAATCCCAGTCGCAGCGAATCCTTTTCCAAGAACTTATTAAAGTAACGTGGACAAAGGTGTGTTCATTAGTCTTTAATAAAAACGTAATCCACGTTGGTGGAACGTCATATGGAGGATTAAAATGTTGTCGAGGAGCTTGACGGGAAGTGTTTGCGAATCGTCCGACAGTTAATATTATAATCTCGCTGTCAGCACGAGATATCACAAAATACTGCAAAAATAAATACTTGCGCAAAATCGTATCGTATAATCACAAAGATTGAAAACTATTGAAAAAAATTGGTATTAAACGACAGACTACGTCCAGCTGATTATCATTCTCATAGACGCCGATCACCGGAGTGCGATAACATCGAAGAGTTGTTAAAACGAATTACAGAGAGAGAGAGGAGGGGGGGGGGGGGGGGGGGGAGAGGGAGAATGCATCGAAATGAAGTTACTCGAACTGAACTTCTCCGAGTACATTAGGAAGCATAAGCTTCCCGATTTAAGGCCGAACGGATGTATTTTTAGTCGCACTAGTCGAAACTCATTCGAGTTGATAACGGATCGTTATCAGCGAGTTAACGGGATTTCCGCGCCGTGAATTTCGCATTTTCTCGTGCGCTCTCCGCCCGCGGAATAACCGGGCAAAACTGGGCACGTCATAATAGGAATTCAGGAAATTGGGTTGTAATACCGACGCAGAGTAGATACCCGGAACATATTCCAACGATTGTGAGAGATCGGTGCGTCGGTTTCGTACAACGGAGCTCATTTATTCCACGAGAAACCAAGTCACGTACAAACCTCGCGTTCGCTTTACTATCCGTCATTCAATCCGCACTGTCCGTTGCAGTTTGCACATTATGAACGATATTAGATATCCTCGCGTTGGGCCGATAATTAATATTCACTCTCCAAATCAGGTGTGTATGTGTGACTTACTTTTGTTCAATTAATGCATGATACATTCATTAAAATCTAACGCGAGAACGGTACGTGAAAACGCGCTGGTATTTTTTCAAAATTAAATTTAATTAGGAACCTTGAAAGTGTATTTTCTACCTTACGTAAATATGATAGAGAAGTAATGTGAAATTATATATGATTTGCATATGTAACTTTTTCGAAAGTCGCTATCTATGACACAATGAGATTTTTTACGATCAAAAACGATTTTACGATCGAAAACGAAAAGCGATTTAATGATGAGACTCACGCGATTGCGCTTTGTAGAGAAAACTTTACGTTGAGTAATGGTCAATTTTTTTTGCGAAGTTAATATTTCATTCTAGGCAAGCTTCGCGCGCAACGTTTTACTGTGTCTCATTTACAAAAAACTGGATGAAATCGGGCGTTTCGTATTTTTCCAGGCATGAATGATTACCCCGATGGATATTTTTTTTATGATATTTCACTGAAACTCATTTTTCACTTATTTTTAATGAATTCTATTCCCATCTTCGTCGAATATTTTGTATTATATGTGTGTAAGCTCAATTGTTCTTCAATTCGATTTAATTCTACTGTTGGTACTCTCTCATCTCTCATTAGCGAGCGCCATCATTAAGGTGGCCGAAGTACCGAAGCTCAGATTCGTAAATGAGTGATCCAAATCGAAAGAACCGAGTGTCGCCCACTGTTAGTCGCAGGTACAGAGCTATACCGAGTAAATTGATGCGCTTGACGGATGCAGTATTAGTGCGCTGAACTATGATAACCATCAGAAAGCAAAAGAATTTAACCCGAAACTGCTGCACGTACAAGTAGGCCGGCATGAATAATGCAAAGAGATACGGAAGACGGAGTTCTCTGTGTAGAAAATTGGAAAAACACGGTTGCAACGATAGGAGAAAGTCAAGCCCACCCCTCTTACGTTACCCTTCTTGAGCGAGAACCTCTAATTGCATCTCGTGGATTCAAGAGAGCAAAAACAGTATTACGATACTCGAGGATGCTCCTCATTTCGAGTACACCGGACTAGACACCGCCCTCTCTCTTGGCATGCAATCCTCAGCGATACTCGGAAGTTTCACGAAGATTTTATTTTTCCACGCGCGCATGTAGACGTTAGCAATCAATAGATTTCTAATTTACTCTAAATGCAATAGAACACTGATATCTATTCTATCTCCTTTTGGATAAATCGCGTATTCAACGTAATAACGTTTTTAACTTTGTAAGAGAATACAGAAGGCCCACTCGCAATTCGCCAAGTTTGGCTTCAAGAGAGCAGAATAGTATAATATAACGACAGCCGACTTATCATTGCTACCAAGAGCATCTCGGCGTCCGACATCCGGAAAATCATGTCGAAATTCAAAGTATTTCGCTAATTGCCCCACTTAGCCTTACTCCCACTTAAAGCATCCTAATTACTCTCCCAGAATATTTGAGTCATCGCGAATCAAACTTGAATATATCAGAGAGCAAAGGTACGCTTAAGAATTTCATAAACTTTACAAAGCTGAAATATTATAGATAATTTTTTAAATTATGTAAAAAGATATTTTAATTGCAATCTTTATTTAACTGAATTATTTACGTAATTTCTCGCACTTTAACGTTTTTTCTACATAATAGCTGCATAATAGCTCGAAGAGAAACAGGAGCGGGTCTCCCACAATATGGTCTCCCACAAAAATAGATTTAAAAATTGATTTTTTTTAAACACAGTATTTGATTATAAAATTAACAAACAAATAAAATATTGCAGAATGCATGTAAATGTTTGTACATACGTACACCATCTCTTGCATATAGATTGTTCAATTAAAAATCTATAGTATGTAACATAAACTATATATCAACAAAGTAAAACTATAATCGATTTATAGAATAATTAGTTTGATATGAAATCTTTAAAAAAAGAGAGATCATCAATAATCAACAAGCTTGCTGCTAAAAAGAACACATTGGCTAAATGCTATACTATCGTTTAACTTGCATCGTTTAACTCGAAATGTATACAGCCAAATGAAATATCACATAACAAACAACGCACTCAAATATACATATATTTGTTTTGTAATACACTCAAGTTTAAGAAGAAGTATGTTATTTGCTAAAGTGTACCTTAGAAACGTTTCGAAATGCTTAAAAGCAAAAAATGCGTTATAATAATTGCTGGCTTTTATGTATTGACATATTAACTGTAACAGCGAGCTACTGAACAAATAGTTCCAGGTAAACACTAGAATTTGCTACTTAATAGTGGAGATGTTAAGAGGAACGGTTATAATATACTCGTAAAAAACTGTTCTCTCTCTCTCTCTCTCTCTCTCTCTCACTCATATATATATATATATATATTAAAATGATAAAAAAGGATGTAGAATTCATTTTATAAATATTTATAATAAAAATTTCATTTTTACGTTATTTCGATATTATTTAATATCTTTTGTCTTTAAATGTCGAGGCGAAACATCTTTGCGTTGTTTCAATGCTTAATTAATCGATTAATGTCTTTTCGAAACTGACTGTAAGTATATCCATAGGTACCGCTTAATCATTGTATTAAATTTTTATTGTTTACAGTTATTTTTGTATAGAAATCTTTTAGATAAATGAAAAAATCAAATTCTAAAACAATAATATGACATCAAATGTCCAAAAAAAAAAAATACAAATAATACTAATAAAGAACTTTTAGGTTGGAGTAAAAAGTAAGTTTTTACTGGAAAATTTTACTTTTTATTTAAGCTTTCTAATTTTTGTTTTCTTTTTTAATTTCTTATTATGAATAATTTAATAAGAATTTTAGATTGCTTTTCTGGATAAATTTAATTTATTCAAATCATCTTATACTCTTAATAGCTTGTTATTATCATTGCGAATGATCATACATATGAAAACTATTATCATTTTTACTAAATATTATTTGTTAAATAGACAGCATCTATTCTAAGCCTACTCGGCTTTTCTATTTCATTACGTGATTATAAATTATTATTCTAATTCTCGTCTCATTAGAACTTGATGCGTTCAGCAAGGCAGATAACGAACGCTTTGTCGGATCAAAATGGGCGTGGAATAAAGCTGACTGGCGCGCCGCGATTGTTCCACTTTAAGTATCGCTTCGCATTAGCTACGACGAAGAAGCGAACAATTTAAGTTATGGCCTAGCTCGACTGAGACTGCTCTCTTATCGCATTAACGTAGGAACTCCGTAAAATGCAGAAGAGCAGAGAGAGAGGAGGGGGAGAGAGAGAGAGTGCTCGATACAACCGCGTCTAACATCACTGTGTTCATTACAAGGAAGGATCTTACCAAACTCACCATTTACATTATGCCGTCGCATGCAACACTTGCCACAGATGGCTGCATACTTCTTCTTCAGAATTGCTCTTCCTTGAATTGGACTAGCTCTGTATGCTTTGAAATTAAATAGCTATTATGAACTCAAATCATGAGACAGCTACAGAATATACTTGAATGAAGTTCAATCGTTTAATAAGGTGCTAATAAAATATATAAGTAAATAATTAAATTGCTACGCGGAATCAAATGTCTACTTCAAATATCGCGGGAAGTATGTATCGATCTCACTCTGGAGCTCGCACAGCTCCTACTGAATAGAAGCTTAGAAACAATATTTCTTTTGCGGCACTCCATGCCAGTGTAAATAACTTGCTAATAAGAAAAGTCATTTTCCATTAACACGATTTATGCATCACGATGCAAACTACCATTTGATTAGAGATTTAATTGAAATATCGCTTTTCACAGCGGAAAATGTTTTTCAGATTGAGTTTGCTTCACGGGGTGTCTTTGCCTCTAATTGTTTTACGTGATCGCTTACGCGAGAGAATTCAACAGTATTATAAGAATAAAAGAAAATAAATTGCTGGTATTTTTGAGAAAAATGGTAAATTAAATAACTCGAAATACATTTTCTTTGATAACAATACAATTTTATTTAATATACAAATATAGTACAAATATGGCCTCCAGCTCACTTAAAAATCTTTAGCAATAAATAATTGTATTTCAAATAGGGAGCTTTGTCATAATTTTCAGTTAGAATCTCGGTATCATTTTGATTATTAACCATTCTGTAAGAATGATAAAAACATTTTAGCTATAAATGTAATTTAATAGTTATCCAATGTATATAAATTTATTTGCAATAAGTAAATTTATCTTTGATAAAAGAAACAGTAAAATGTAATAAAAGTCAGTTATGTTCTTTATAATCGTGGAGAAAAATAAACATAATATTTGCAGCTTTTATTAAGAACAGATAATCGAATATTTTACATATCCGGAAATAATGTAGATATTGATTTTAATATACTTACGTTTGGCCACGGTATTGGCCAAGGTTGGTGAGGATTAAATGGGCCGTAGCCAGGGCCGTTTGGTAACCGAATTTTATGTGTCGAGAGTGTATGAATATCGGCAAACAGAGCGCAGATTGTAATTAACAGCATCACGATGTACATTGTAAGCCTCATGTTGAATATGTTGTTCTGATCAAGAAAGATCGCTACAGGAAAGATAAAATGATACATATATTCTGACACTATTACTTTCTCGATAACATTTTTGTATGCTTGCAAAATAAAAATATCTTGTTATTTTTTAATTATTTTACGTAATTATTTAGAACTCATAAAATAAATTAAATTAAATATTAAATTAATTTAATTAAAGTCTTTCAGGACATAAAAAAACTGTTAAATAATATTATCAAGTCAACGTGTAATTTCAATAATTAAAAATTACACATCATCAAAATTATAAAACTAATGCTATCGTAAAATTATCGACAACGCAGAGGTACAAATCAGACATTATCACGAGTCTAAAGATTATACCTTAGTCTGTATCTTAGTCTAACTGTAGTTGAACTCAAATTATGCTTTCTACATGAAGTACACATCTTTTATATGTTGTTACTGTTTAATGTGTAAGACACAAAAACAGCAAAATCTAAGTCGGGAAGTCCCTCGGGACTTTCGCATTATCGCAATTGTTATCGCAGAAGCACGCGATAACGTACTCTCTATTGATGATCTGACGTTTTATCCGCGTATAAACTTTTCGTATTTAGAGATTTCCCGTAGAAATTTATAAATTAAATTATTCTTTCACGTTTTAAACGTGATCTGTAATAGCGCAGATTTTTTATAAAAACGCTTTATTATTACGTAATATCATTGTTTTGGTCTTTTTATTTTATGTATTTCTATAATAGTTATTACTGCATTCGTTATTGTAAATTGTACAAATAATAAACAAAAAAAAAATGATAAAATTGCATGGATGATAACAGAAGAAAATACTTTTAATAAACTGTTTGTACATTGTTAGTAATTAAAATACCGAGCAATTTTTTTAAAGAAAAACATATATTCCTATTTATGTATCAAAAGTGGCGGAGTCTCTGTTTCTCGCAACAGGCTGTAGTAGAAAGAGAATAAAAATTACAAAGAGAATTGTAATTGAGCCAGCAGCGCAAAAATAAAAGTTATTACACCGTTGAAGCAAAGAACAGTTTATGCAATGGTAACAAACAATCAAGGGGATAAAAAAGTTGTTTTGCGAGATATACGAGAGAAAAGGTATACAAAAATAGTGAAAAGAAACATATATGCGTGTATGTGATCATGGAATTTTTAAATAAATACTTTGATATTATCTGAAGCTTGCGAATCTATAGGAAAGGAAATTTTAGTGAATGATATTAAACATCGTATTTTCAAACACTATTACATGCATATATCAGCAGAATTGATACACTTTATTGAACTCGCATTTATAAATAGAAAAATTAAACATACGATTCTCGTTCATGAACAATAGATAAACACTTATCGCTAAATGGCAGTGATATGAAAATAACTTTGACCTACGGGAAGATTACCTATTTTCAGAAGCACGTACAACTCGCGTAAAATTATGGGAATATCTATCTTAAGAAATACATTTTTCAGTTGAGAAGGGGCTCCGTTGCGACCAAGGATATCGACGCGGCTGGTACAGAACAGGAACTTTTACTTGGGCATGAAATATAAGGACGGCTGGAGTTTGAGGTCGTTTACTCGTTGATACGGGAAAGCTGAATAGTATCTCTTGAGGAAACCGAGATATCTCCGAAACCTTAGTCCTCGGTCTAAAATCCGACGTTTCTACCATGTTCTTGTTTCTCTAAGAGTACGCTGAGAAGAAACGGATAATTGTGGGATTGATTAAAGCAACTTTACTGTCGTAGCCACATATACGTATAACCATACACAATTAGAAAATTTATGTTAAATTTAAGATTTTATGTTCTAAATATTTCACTCAAATTTTTGTTTAAATTTAATACGATATAAATATATTAGAATGTGACACAAATATTATGTAAAAATTAACACAGAAATGTAACACTTTGACATAATTTAGAAACAAATTATAGAAGAATATTTCTTCAGTAAAATATAATTAAATAAATTAATTCTTCGATCCCAATTTATATATTTTATCACGTATCTATCATATAAATATTGTGTAAAATATCAAATAAATTGAACGCATTACAATAATATTTTTAATATTAAAATATTGTTTTAAAGATCGCGATGTAAGCAATACAACAATTAAAAAATAAAGGCTAAGCAGTCAAACTAGATCTTAATGCTGAAAACAATTCCGTGTGAAATTCCGTAAAAGAAACAATTTTTTTAATTAAAACGCTAGACATTAAAGAATAACAAACAAATAAGAATAACAACAATAACAAACAAATGTATACATCTTTATTAACATGAATAAAAAAGTTATAGCATATGAAGTAAAAGAAATCTTGAATATATCATTTTAAGGATGGCATCAAAGAGTTAACATTTGTGATGTGTGAAATTAATTATGTTTATCTTTTATTTATTTATCTTAAAATTTACATTTTAAATATACTATACACTATTTTTATGTTATTTGTTCTCTTATAAAATGTGTTAACACTAAGAAATGTTAAATATCAATTTAACACAAAATATTCAAATAACACAATCACATTATGTTAAAAACAACACTCGGATATGTTAAAAATTTAAGATAATTTTAACAAAATCGATTTTAATACAAATACGAAAAGTGTTTTTTACTTTGTAGAAAACTGATAATTATATGCGTATTACGGTCTAAATAATCAATAAAAAGCAGGAAATTGAAAATTGTTTCAATGTGTACATTATTCTATTTTCACTGATTACAATTTGTTCAATTATATTACTAATTATGTTGCAAAATAATTTATTATTTGTTTAACAAGTGTGATATAACGAAGCAAATTCGCAAAATACATAAAATAATTTATCTCTTTTCGTTTTATCGATTCGATAATATTCTCTTTATAGCTCTGCGATCATAAATCCGCAAACAGATTTACGATTACAAACTCAATTATCGCATTGCGATGAGAGTTATATTGTAAACACTCGTTTGTTACAAAAGTATTGTTACAAACAGCTTACTGGATAAATGATAAGAGCGTATTACGTCAAGTTGTTATTAGGTGTAAATATCGCGTTCTATTTTCACCATGATCCATGTTATAGCATCATAACGATAACGTAATCAGCCAGTCAGGCATAACGGTCGATAATTATCTTTCACTAAGTTAGCGTCCATAAGGAGCGACGTTTTATGGAGTCTCGTGGATTGGGGTTATTACCTATACCGAACAACTATCCTGGGGAAATATTTTATGGAGCAGTTCAGTGGTAATGAAGGTGTTTACATGCGGGCAAGAAGGCGTCTCGCCGGGCGGTAGGTAATTAGGACACCCTCGTCTACCTACGCGATAGGCATTGCTAGAGGTAAATGCAACCGGGTGCACATGGAGCTTGGGCGGTGCACTCGTTATTTCAGGGCTTCCGCTCGTATAATGTATTAGCGTAATTAGCGTTATCAGATTCACGGACAACGAGGAGTCACTCGTTTATAGGATTGCGAAAACCGATGCGCAACCGATTCGAATCCTGGGAAAAAGTCGAACGTAACGAAATTGCATCCGGGATATTCATCGCGATAAGAGCAAAGAGAACGTTTTAAAGTATCTCGCGTAGTTCCATTTCTCGTTTTTTAGAGGAAAAATCAAAGTAACGAACGCATTTGTATGCATCCTTATAGCATATTTTACAACGTAATCAGTAATATAATATCAGTAAATTTCTTTGCATCGATTTGAAACAACTTTCGATCGCTATGCTTATAACAAAGAACAGTATACAAAGAATTTAACGATAAATGTTTAAATAATTTAGATTTAAATTTTTATTTTGATGTCTTTTTATTACAAAATGTTCATCGCCTTCGTCAAACATTCGCCACATCATTGTAAACTAATAGTTATCTTACAAAAGCAAATAAAGTACCAGACGCATCATTTTATTTAATGGCAATATAAATAAATATCATAGAAATCATTATTTACGTTTAAGTCATTGTTAATTATCTCTTTTCAATGAGGAAATCTGATCTTCGGATTATACGGTCCTTGACCAGGGAAAGTCGGGAAAGGCTTCCAGCCACCTGCAGGCGGTTTCCTGACCGGAGATTGATACGCAAAGACTGTCATTACTGCCAAGAGCAGAGTGAAGATAAACAAGTGAAATTTCATATTGCGTTCTGTTTCTGAAAGCCAAATATAAATATATTTATACACATATATACATAAATTTAAATATCGAGTTAGTACAATCACACACAAAATGACGTAAGTTGCATAACCATAGCACAAGACCGCTGAATAATAAGCATATAAGCCAATAAGCATCCAATATAAAGATGCCATGTTGATTTACATAAGATGCATTGTCTAGTGTTATGCTCATTGGTCCTTATGATTATGCAGCTTATATAATTTTGTATGTGATAGCAAATTAGCTATGGAATAATTGCAGACATAATACATATATTTGAAACACTGCAAGACATTTTATAGTGAAACGTAAGAATACAGAATTTTATAATGTTAACTCAAAATGATTACTTTAAAAGAAAGAATATTAAATAATTAATTATATTATAGAAAAATATATAGAGAAAATTATATACATATATATAATCTATTTGCACATCATTATGTTCATTACATTTATTTATATTTATTTATTAGGTCTAATATATATATTAAAGAAAATGTAAATATACCTTGTTTAACTTATGTTTTCTCGTGGAGATATATTCGCTTTAAAACCTTTCGATGTCTTTTCACGCTTGCAAATTAGAGAAGTGTGATATTATCTTTTCCAAATGTCATTATATATCCTCACTAACATATTATATATATATATGCTTCTTCATTATGCGCGTGCTTTATTTCGCTGGCGGGAAATACCGAATCTTATCTCACTCGTAACAGTCAGCGACGTTCTTTTCATACTTATCAAATGAGTGTGTATATACATGCAGGGGAAAAACACGTTTCTCTCTATTTCTCGACGCTTTTCAGCGTATGAGAGAATGTCTCCCACGTGGAGGTAGAAATTTAAAGAAACTGGAATTACCGAAACATGCGCGTGTAGAAGAGTTACGGGAATCCCCATTAAACATGTAGACTTCTAATTTTCTATCTTGATTCTCTCTGTGTGTTCTTGCGAAAAATAAATCGCTCATTTGCTACAACAACGATACAATTGTCAAAAAAACAAAATCTCCAAGAAAATGAGTTCTAATGTTTTGAACCATTAAAATATTACAACTTTAATTTTGAAATGCAAATTGTAGAGAAATTAAAGTACGTAATTTTTTAAAGCATATCTTTTCTTCCTTCTTTGTTTCTTTTTTCTTTTTTCTTTTTGCAAGCAATTAAAAAAATTTTAATTTTTTAGTTCCATTGATGTTGCAGCAGATAAACGAAATAATTTTACGAGAGACAATAAGCAGATATAGGTATAATCCTAATTCATTTTTCTCTCATAAATTTCCTCACGCATTCATTCATATCATTCAATTGTCAATTTCATATTTTACCTCGTATTTTATTTATTATATAATTCAGATCTGTTCGCGAATTTTTATTAGTTCGCACATAAGTACACCTATAGAAATTTGTAAAAATCTCGGGAAAATGAAAGATTGAAAATTAAATTTTTTGTGCGCGAAATTTATACGCTGCATTAGTGTATAACGAAGATATATATGTGATAATCATGAAATTTCATCCTTTATTTGATTCTTTTAGCGATCGGCAAATCAAACTGTTTCTGAGAATCTGTAGTGCCTTACCGCTACTCCCATAACCACCCACGTTCCTACAAACCCTTCCCCCCTTTCCACCTGCACGATTGAACGTGAGCCCAACATCAGAATAAAACTACGACGAATTCTACCTCCATCACGTTAACGTTCCTCCTCCGTCTTCTATCGTAGAGACCATTTATTTCGATCGTAACCAATGTCGTTTCGCAGTTCACTTCAAAGTGGAACGGGCTGCCTCTATCGCCATGGTAAAACGCGACGTCATTGACGTTACAAGATGATTCATACTCATGATGCAAGTAGACATTACTTGCATCATGATTCATACTAAACCAGTGGCCTATTTTTTTACCTGAACGACATTTGCTATTAGGGCAGTGTGTTATGACATATTACGTTACACTAGACAAGAACTAGCAGTGAACTAATGTTTAGAACGTATTGAACTAATGTCTATTTGCATTAATATTTGAAAACAGTAAAAAAAAACATTTTGTATTTGTGTTAAAATCAAATCTTGTTAAATTTTTAACATATTCGAATATAATTTAATATAAAATGTGTTATTTGGATATTTTGTATTAAATTGATAATAAATATTTCTTATTATTAAAATAACACAATTTATGAGTGAGTGAACAAATAACATAAAGATAGTGTATTTTAAAATTTTTCAAATTTTAAGATGAATAAATAAAATATGTAAATTTAACATATTATAAATTTAAATGTATACTGAAATGTGTTCAATATACTAAAATATGTTTAAAAAATTCAACATAACATAAAATAAATGTTACTGCATATTTATTTAAAATTGTAAAAATGTGCTTTCAAATTTGCTTACAAATTTGACAATTTTAAGCTGTTAATATTCCGCAGAAACATTTTGCAAAAACTAAACATTTAATCAGAGGAATGTCTATTGAGATTGATAAACTCCATATTAACGTATCCCGATCATGAAAACAATTCTGTCCAGTAAAAATGTTTTATTTATAATAACAGCAGTATATAGAGTTTGTAATGCTAATACATGAAATAAAATGCAAAATCGAAATAAGCACAGAAATGGGCCTCGGAAATCTGAACAAGATGCACCACGATCTGCTTTTGAAAGGCACTGAGATACCATTGAGAACTCGCTAGTAGTCCTTCAGAGCTTACAAAAATCACCTCTGGTAGTAAATATTCATGTCGCACAAGGCGTTGCTTTGACTCCGTATGACGAGGCATTTACCCACTTTCTAAAGTGAGTCTCTTTATCTTCGAACGTATTTTTATGACAGATTCTAAGCGTATGGATTTACGAGCAGATATAGAGAACTTATACTGCTAGACGTCTCTCTGGCGCAAACATTGAGAAAATATCCATAAATCATTATATCCTTTTTTTTTTTATTAAAAGGAAAATCCATCGGTTGCTTTAACAGCCATCGTATTGATTAACGATTCATGATAGCATGCCCGATTATCCGCTTGAATAAACACATGTACGTGTGTATGAATTTATTATATATGTACCGTTGAGAGAAATACGTTATTCGTTATAACACTCATTTATATCGTTTAACAAATCATGCACTACAGCGGGTACCATTTCGACACTTTTACTGCGATATTATCTCATTATATATATATATATATATATA